CTCCTGGGCTCAAGGAATCCTGCTGCCTCAGACTCCCGAGTAGCTGGGACTACAGGCATGCGCCACCATGCCTGGCTAATTTTTTCCCTATATATTAGTTGGGCAATTAATTTCTTTGTATTTATAGTAGAGACGAGGTCTCGCTCTTGCTCAGGCTGGTTTCGAACTCCTGAGCTCCAGCAGTCTGCCCACCTCGGCTTCCCAGAGTGCTAGGATTACAGGTGTGAGCCACTGTGCCCAGCCCTGTATATATATTTTTAGTTGGTCAATTAATGTCTTTCTATTTATAGTAGAGATGGGGTCTCGCTCTTGCTCAGGCTGGTTTCAAATTCCTGACCTCGAGCAATCCACCCTCCTGGACCTCCCAGAGTGCTAGGATTACAGGCGTGAGCCACCATGCCTGGCCTATTTTTCCCTTTTTAATTTGGCTCCTTTATAACAAGTATATGCATCTTTCTTTTAAACTAACATTTTTAACAGCTTTCTTTAGGTTCATTAATATACTATAAACAGTATGTTTAATGTGAACAATTTGATAAATTTTGACATACTTATGCCATAAAATCATTGCTATAATCAAGATAATATATCTATCAACCTCCCCAAACTTCCTATGCTGCTTGGTAATTCCTCTTTCCTGCCCCCTTCCCTAGGGAACCACTAATCTCCTTTTTGCTATGGCTAAAATTTTGTGTAAATGGAATCATCTAGTATGTACTCCTTTTTTTCGTCTGTCTTCTTTCATTCATCATAATTATTTGAGATTCATTCATGTTGTTGCATGTATCAGTAGTTCATTCCTTCTTAATGCTGAGTAGTTTTCTCTTGTACAGATACACCACTCTTTGTGAATCTTTTCACTTATTAATGGACATTTGGGCTATTTTCCAGTTTCTGGCTTTTACCAGTAGAGCAATTACGAAATTTGTCTTTGCATGGATATATGCTTTCACTTCACTTGAGTAAATACTTATGAGTGGAATTTCTAGATGATATGGTAGATGTATATTTAAACTTTTAAGACATTGCCACACTATTTTCCAAAGTGGTTATATACTTTACAATCCCAATGGCAGTGTATTAGATTTCCAGTTGTTCTGCTTCCTCATGAGCACTTGGTATGTTCAGTCTTTTTAACTTTAACCATTCTAGGTGTTAACAATGAGGTGTGTAATAGTTCATTGTGGCTGTAATTTGCATTTCTTTAATGATGTTGGGCATATTTTCATGTGCTAATTTTCTATCTATTTGGAAATATGGTCTGATCTCTAATCAGATCTTTTACCCATTTCTTTATTAGATTGTTTTCTTATTTACTGAGTTTTAGAAAGTTCTTTATATACCTTGGATACAGCATTATCAGATATGTGCTTATGTAGGTAATATTCCCCAGTGGCTTGTCTTTTCATTCTCCTGGTGTCTTTCAAAGAGCAGAAGTAGGCCAGGCACGGTGGCTCACGCCTGTAATCCTAGCACTCTGGGAGGCTGAGGCGGGCGGATTGCTTGAGGTCAGGAGTTAACCCAGCCTAAGCAAGAGGGAGACCCCCATCTCTACTATAAATAGAAAGAAATTAATTAGCCAACTAATATATAGAGAAAAAATTAGCTGGGCATGGTGGCACATGCCTGTAGTCCCAGCTACTCGGGAGGCTGAGGCAGAAGGATTGCTTGAGCCCAGGAGTTTGAGGTTGCTGTGAGCTAGGCTGATGCCACGGCACTCACTCTAGCCTGGGCAACAAAGCGAGACTATGTCTCAAAAAAAACCACAAAAGAGCAGAAGTTTTATGCTTTGGTGAAGTCCAAGCTATCAGTTTTTCTCTATATTGGGCTGTGTCTTTCCTGTTGTATCTAGGAAATCTTTGCGTAGCTCAAGGTCACAAAGATTTTCTGCTGTGTTTTGTTCTAGGAGTTTTATAGATTTTTAAGTTTTTCATTTAGGCCTGTGATATAATAATTCTTGTATTTGTCATAGAGTATAAAGTTGATTTTTTTTCATACTGGATACCCAGTTGTTCCAGTATCATTTGTTGAAAACACTGTCCCTTTATCTCTGTGCTGCCTTTTGCTCTTTGTCAAAAGTCAGTTGTCTGTCTATCTACCTATATATATCTATATCACTATATATATATATGTAGGTCTGTTCCTAGACTTTGTTCTGTTGATCTTTTTTTGGTGTGATGTCAATATCATACTCTCTTATTTACTATAGTTTTTCATAACACATCTTAAAATTAGGAAGTAATTGTCTTCCAACTCTCTCCTTACTTTTCACAGTTATTTTGACTGTAGTAGGTCATTTACTTTGCCTTTTAGTATGAGTTTGACAGTTTATACAAAAATTCTTCCAGGAATTTTGATGAGGATTGCATTAAATTTATAGATGCATTTGGGGAGAATTTTAATAATATTGAGTATTTTGACAAGTGAATACAGTATGCCTCTCATTTATTTAGGCCTCTGATTTTTCTCAGGAATGATTTTTTTTTAAATTAACCCTTCATTTAAAAATAATTTTAGATTTAAAAAAAATGGCAGATTCGTACCTAGAATATCCACATACTTCTCATTCAGTTTTCTCCATTGTTAACAGTATTGAGAATATTTTGCAGTTTTTGGTGTCAGGTCTTGCACATATTTTGTTAGATTTATCATTTTGTAAATTTTATATAATGATTGCTTATTGCTGACATATGGAAATACATTTGGTTTTCGTATACTGATCTTATATCCTGCAAGTTACTTTTAGTAACTTTATTATAGATACTGTAGGATTTTCCACATAAATGCTTATGTTGCCTATGAATAAAGAAAGTTTTATTTTTTTCCAGTACAGGTATTTTAATGTTGAATAGAAGTAGTGACAGCAAAAATCTTTGCCTTGGTTCTTATATCAGGAACAGAACAGTTAGTCTTTGTCCATTAAGACTTGTGTTTGCTGTAGCTTTTTTGTGTCTGTTTATCTGGTTGTAGAAGTTTCCTATAATCCCTAGTTTTCATCAGGAATGGATGTTTGTCAAGGATTTTTTTCTTCATCTATCTCCTTTTTTTGCTTATTAATATTGTGAATTATGTTGATTAATTTTTCAAGTGATAAACACACATTGTATTCTTTTTTTTTTTTTTTTTGAGACAGAGTCTCACTTTGTTGCCCAGGCTAGAGTGAGTGCCGTGGCATCAGCCTAGCTCACAGCAACCTCAAACTCCTGGGCTTAAGCAATCCTACTGCCTCAGCCTGCCGAGTAGCTAGGACTACAGGCACGTGCCACCATGCCCAGCTAATTTATATATATATATATATATTAGTTGGCCAATTAATTTCTTTCTATTTTTTTTTATAGTAGAGACGGGTCTCGCTCAGCGCTGTTTTGAACTCCTGACCTTGAGCAATCCGCCCGCTCGGCCTCCCAGAGTGCTAGGATTACAAGCGTGAGCCACCGCCCGGCCCACACATTGTATTCTTAGACCCCATTTGCTCATAGTCTTTTAAATACATTATTAAATTAATTGTTAATTAATATTGCTAAATTAATTTTCTAAAATTTAAGAATTTTTGTATCTAGTTATGAAGGACATTGCTCTGTAATTTTCTTTCTCCATAGTTGCTTTTTCTGGTTGTGGTATCACAGTAATGCTGGCCTCAGAAAGTATCTTCTTCTCAGGAAATTCCTGGAATAATTTTCATAGTATGGCATTATTTCTTTTTGAAATTTTTGGTAGAATTCCCAAATAAAGCCAACTGATTCTGGAGTGAAGCCAGTTGATTCTGGAGTTTTCTTTGTGGGAAGGTTTTTTTTTTTTGTTTTTTTTTGAGACAGAGTCTCGCTTTGTTGCCCAGGCTAGAGTGAGTGCCGTGGCATCAGCCTAGCTCACAGCAACCTCAAACTCCTGAGCTCAAGCAATCCTACTGCCTCAGCCTCCCAAGTAGCTGGGACTACAGGCATGTGCCATCATGCCCGGCTAATTTTTCCTATATATATTAGTTGGCCAATTAATTTCTTTCTATTTATACTAGAGATGGGGTCTCGCTCTTGCCCAGGCTGGTTTCAAACTCCTGACCTTGAGCAATCCACCCGCCTCGGCCTCCCAGAGTGCTAGGATTACAGGCGTGAGCCACCGAGCCCAGCCATTGTGGGAAGGTTTTTAACTACATGTATTTTCTTTCACAAGTATAAATAAAGACTATTGAGGTTATCCAGTTTTTCTTGAGTTCATTTTGATAGATTGTGGTCTTTGGGAGAATTTGTCCCTGTATCTTAGTTGTCATATTTACTGGCACAAATTTAGTCATCATATTCTTTTATGATCCTTTTAATATCTGTAGAATTCTAGTGATTATCTCCTTTCCTCTGCTGTTGGCAATTTGTACCTTCTCTTTCTGTCTCAACCCTCCCCTGGTTTGTTGGGGTTTTTTTTCTCTTTTGGTGAAGGGAGTATTCTGGAAATTGAACTGTAAATTGATGATTTTATTGATATTCTCAAAGAACCAGCTTTTGATTTTTATTGGTTTTCCTCTGTTGTTTTTCTTATTTCTATTTCATTGATTTTTGCTCTGTTTTTATTTCCTTTCTTCTTAGATTACATTTCCTCTTCTGTTTCTGATGTAATATGGTTTAAGCTGAGATCACTGGTTTCATTGTGTAATTTTGTCTAGCTTTTTAGTTTTTTCACACAAGAGAGTATCTGGTCCCTATTACCCCATATTGACCAGAAATGGAAGTCTCTGAACTGTTAATTATACAGTTAATACATAAAGGTATTCTTCTTGTAAAAAGTTAAAGCATCATCAGTTCTGATGATTCAGTCCTGATGATTCATCTTTTTAATGCCAGTCTTCTCTAATTCTTCCCAGAGGTTAAGCCTGGTTGTAGTATGTTATCTCCTAGGATTTTTTTTTCTGCATTTAAACAGACACATAAAATATACCCATAGAAATAATATATTATTTAAAAAATGTTTTATTTGTAGTTTATTTTTTACTTTTTTTCATTTCTGTCCTACAGGCAGCTAAGAAAGAGCATGCCGCTATCATTCTTTGGAACACCACATCTTGGAAACAGGTGCAGAATTTAGTTTTCCACAGTTTGACTGTCACGCAGATGGCCTTCTCACCTAACGACAAGTTCTTACTAGCTGTTTCCAGAGATCGAACCTGGTCATTGTGGAGAAGGCAGGATATAATCTCACCTGAGTTCGGTAAAATAGCTTCTGATTGGGGAGGTTATTAGTGAAATAGTTATGTCCATTTTATCCACATTAAGTAGCTGTTGGTTAAGAGAAAGATAACAAGGTAAAGATAACAAGCCTCATGGCTCTGAAGCCTTTGAAAGTTCTTAGATAACTGAGGAAGGCTTGACCTTGTAAGATTTAAATGGAGGTGATCTTTGAGTTGGCCTCCTTGTGATTATGTACTCAGGATGGCGTATGTTCAAACATCTCAATTAAAGAAAAATACAAATCTATATATAGAAAGTTAAATTTTGCAAATGGTTATGTTAATAGAATGCCACCACAAAACCAATTGGATGACATGTTCTGAGCTAGGATTTCATGGGACAGGAATAACTAAGATACAACTATGGAAACTTGTGGTTAAGTAGTGTCTTCTTTCAGAACTCTTTTATTAAATATAAGTACAGTAACACTTTAAATTATGAAACTTGGAGGGACCATTATCCTTGTTAGCCTTTTCCTACCCTCCCCTGTCACTTTGATCTTTGGGAAGGGTGTGTTTAGGCATCCTTCTGTGGGTAACATGACCCTGGGCAAGGTGTTAGCCTACTTACTCACATTCTACTCTGAGCCTGGCATAAATTGAAAAAAAAGAAAGGAGTAAAAGATTGGTGGTGTTGTAGCAGTGACCTATTCCTTCCAGTTTCTTTTGGTGAGTAAATTCTAGAGAGTGTTCAAAGTATATTTGTGAGCAGGGCCTGGTGGCACATGCCTATAGTCCCAGCTCCTTGGGAGGCTGAGGTGGGAGGATTGCCTGAACCCAGGAGTTTGAGCCCTACCTGGGTAACATAGCAAGACCTTGTCTCAAAAAAGTATATTTGTGTTGTTTAATCCTGTTTTTTATTCTTCCATTGATATGCCTTGCATACCATTTTTATGATATTTCTAGTCCCTTAGTATCTTGTGTTTTAGAGAATACTCAAGGACTGTAAAACATACTCAGCAATATGAGTTAGAACAGACCATTTTCCTTTGAATCAATAGTGATTTCCTAACATGCAGTGTTTGCTTTTTAAGAAGTTAAAGTGATATTAATAATATAGTTATTGATTTGTTGTATCTTTATAGATTATGGATTAATAGATACATACACTCCCATTCCCTCATTATAAGCAGTTATGTGTTTTAGGTTTAGTCCAAAATAAGGGCTAGACATTACCTTACATTTAAATCTTACAAGGAAAATATTAATGTATTTTTTTAAACATTATTTAAGTAGTGCCTTAATTTTTTTCCTATAGCCTAATATGCAAATCTGGCTAACTCTTGAGTAAGATTAAATTGCTTCAGGCTTCTTCCATAGGTATAAATTGAACTTTGAGTATCTGGAAGATGTTTGTCATCAGTAACTAGAGAGGGACTACTCAATGTAAAAGCATTTCCTACTAGAAAAATACCATATGCTCACAGCCTGGTTGAGGAGTCAGTTGCCTGGCTTCAGTCTGTTGCAAAAGTCAGCACATATTAAATTGATTACTAAGTCACACATTAAATTAATTACAGAGTACTTAAATATAGCTTTCTAAGAGGTAAAAAAAAAAAACCAGTTTTCTCTGCTTTGTGAGTGATGTGCATGTATTTTTTTCAGACCCAGTTTTCAGTCTCTTTGCTTTTACCAACAAAATTACATCTGTGCACAGTAGAATTATTTGGTCTTGTGATTGGAGTCCTGATAGCAAGTATTTCTTCACTGGGAGTCGGGACAAAAAGGTAATTTTTAAAAAATTTAATATTTTTAAAAATGTAAAATAATATTTTATAGGTATATTTGAATAAAAAACACATAATCCTGCCTTTCTGATACAACTTTTAAAAGTCAGTTTATGTATCCAGCCTCTGTTTGGGTTAAAGAAAATAGGTTTAGTCCCTTCTGTGTTTTTCATATATGTACATATAAAAGGCTTTTATTATTTGTTAAATTCTATGAATCATTTCTCTGAAATATCAAAAATATGAAGAGAAGAGCTTCAGACACATGTCCTTCATCAAATGGTTCCAGTGAAAGAAGAGCAGTAAATGAAATGGATCAAGACTAAGAAACGGCCAGGCGCGGTGGCTCACGCCTGTAATCCTAGCACTCTGGGAGGCCGAGGTGGACGGATTGCTCGAGGTCAGGAGTTCAAAACCAGTCTGAGCAAGAGCGAGACCCTGTCTCTACTATAAATAGAAATTAATTGGCCAACTAATATATAGAGAAAAAATTAGCCGGGCATAGTGGCACATGCCTGTAGTCCCAGCTACTCGGGAGGCTGAGGCAGGAGGATTGCTTGAGCCCAGGAGTTCGAGGTTGCTGTGGGCTAGGCTAACGCCATGGCACTCACTCTAGCATGGGCAACAAAGTGAGACTCTGTCTCAAAAAAAAAAAAAAAAAGACTAAGAAACTAGGAGGGCAAGAGGAGGCAGTAGGAACATAAGGGGAAAAACAATTTCTAGTTTTCTGATTTATATTTATATGAATTTAACATTTTTTTCTATAATGAATGACTATTACCTTTTTATTCAGTGGTAGAAGTGGGATAGAATGTGATCCAGACTTGGAAGAAAATCCAAACAAGTTAGCTAGCAGTATGCTCTTTTTTTTTTGAGACAGAGTCTCATTTTGTTGCCCAGGCTAGAGTGAGTGCCGTGGCGTCAGCCTAGCTCACAGCAACCTCAAACTCCTGGGCTCAAGCAATCCTCCTGCCTCAGCCTCCCGAGTAGCTGGGACTACAGGCATGTGCCACCATGCCTGGCTAATTTTTACTATATATATATTAGTTGGCCAATTAATTTGTTTCTATTTATAGTAGAGACGGGGTATTGCTCTTGCTCAGACTGGTTTTGAACTCCTGACCTCGAGCAATCCGCCTGCCTTGGCCTCCCAGAGTGCTAGGATTACAGGCGTGAGCCACTGCACCTGGCCAGCAGTATGCTCTTGAACATGACTTTCACCTCTGTTCTCTGGGAAATGTCCTGGTCTTTGGTCTTTCCTCTGTTTTCATATTCTTTAAAGTGTCATTTCTGTTTTCTGCAGTTCCTACAGATAGTTTAGCATTCCTTTCCTCTCCCTGCCCTCCCTAGTCATAGACACAGTACAGATTACTGAAGTGGGGAGGGAAGGCTAGCACAGGCATGGCAGCACTCAGGTGAAGCACTTACATACATGTCAGCCTCTACAGGATCTCTCAGACCCTCCCTCCTGTTCATTTGCCTATTCATTTCTTTCTTGGTGTTTATTTGCCTATGCTGTGCTAGATGCTGAGCAAGCAGGACTGCTTCTGTCCTCCACAGTCCTGCCCATAGAAGGTGGTCCAGTGCTGCACTTGGAAGGTCAGGACTGCAGCGGACAAAGCAGCATTTGCTGCACATGCTCCAAAATATCCTTCTGCTTGCTTGGACAAAGCTTCTGCTCAGAATCTTGCTTTGGCCCTGCATTCTTCCCTTTCCATTTCTTTGTTACCAATCTCATACCATTGAGGTGTGAGGTGCCAGGGAAGCCTCATTTCTTATGAGGGATATCATCAGGGTTAGGTCCTCTTGATAGCTGAGTTGGTTCCCCAAGCACATGGATGGTGTAGAGGAAGAGTTAGAGACTTGATTAGTCCCCATGAATTTTGTGGTAACCTTCTTGGGGAAATGCATGAGGCCCCCCCCCCCAACCTTGGTGAGTACATGGCTAATTGACCTTAACTGGATCAAAATTGATTTCTGAGTGAAAAAAGGCATGCTAAACACCCCTCCAGTCTCTGGGCAGGGATAGTCCATCTTTGGATCAACACACATAAGTAGTTGGGGGTCTCAGAGATTCATGTCTGCTATACTGTGGTTTCTCTCTAGAGTTTGAAATGCCCTGAAGTTCTGGAACATCATACACAAATATAAATGCTGCATTTTTTAAAATACTAGAGCAAATATTTTGTGTTATCTCTGTGCCATTGAAACTCTATAATGCATTGCTAGAAACCTTGCAGAGAGAAAGCTTTACAAAGTGTGATCTGTGTTAGGTGGTTGTCTGGGGTGAATGCGACTCCAGCGATGACTGCATTGAGCACAACATTGGCCCCTGCTCCTCAGTCCTGGACGTGGGGGGCGCCGTGACAGCTGTCAGCATCTGCCCAGCACTCAGCTATTCCCAACGGTCAGTCTCTGTGTGGGGCTTAGTTTCATGTTTTCTTTAAAAAGGCTGCTTGGTTTCTCAATATGTAGCCCTGTTATCATTTCATTTGTGGGTTCTCTTAGCTACTGAGTTGCTGATTTTTTAAAAATACTTGTGTTTTTCATAACAATTTTTAAATTATTAGAACTTGATGATTTAGAATGGCAGAATAGAGATTATGAATATCATGTGAAGGTTCTTAGTCACCAAATACAGGACTGTAGTCTTTTCTATAATAAACATCTTCAGTGGCACAAGGGTCCCTGCAGCCAGCCAGGGAAACACTGTCCTGTGGGCTTTGCCAGCAGAGGGCAGAGGTAAACTTGTGTGCAACCTCTATAGAGAAGGGGCTCCTTGGGGATACAGTAGATCAGTGCAGTGTGTCCTGGGCTGATGCCTTGCAACAAAGTCTTTTGTAAGCCAGGGACAGTTAGGAACACTGTGAAGAACTACTTTAGAGTGATGATGGAAATAACAGATATTCATGCTAAGTTAAAGACTGTCTCCCTCCCTTAAAAACAGATATGTGGTTGCAGTAGGATTGGAGTGTGGAAAGATTTGCTTATATACGTGGAAAAAGACTGATCAAGTTCCAGAAATAAATGACTGGACCCACTGTTTAGAAACAAGTCAAAGGTATTTTCTTCCTATTTTTGCTTCCATCAGATTAGATAGAAATTGTGGAATCTTTAGTAGCAAATTATATGCCACATTTTCATGGAGAGGGATGAGGGTTTACCAATAAGTGGTACTCCTTTGTTCTGTGGTAATCTCCTGAAATGGATGTTTGTTATCATAGTGTACTTGATTTTTAAAAGTTTGCTTGACCAAGTTTCTTATTTACATAATAAGCATTTGATACAAAAGTGATTTTTATAATGATGTGTTTTAGAATTCAACTATAATAGACTCTTAATAAAATGATTCGAGGCCAGGCACGATGGCTCACACCCATGATCCCAGCACTTTGGAAGGTCAAGACAGGAGGATTGCTTGAGGCCAGGAGTTTGAGACCAGTGTGGGCAATATATGAAATCCTCACCTCCAAAGAACTTTTACCTGCTTTGGATAATCAAATTCATCTTTAAAGGAAGATGAAATATCATTCATAGATAGCAAGTCATAGTCTGCATAATATGGAAGCATTTCCTCTAGAAGAATTTCAGAAAACATTTGAGACACAGCAGCATTGTTGTAACCTCCCAGAGTGACCCCTGCAAGGGCACACAGTCGTTTGGTTGCATCGGTTCTGGTGGGCTGATTTTTAAAATGTGTTTTATTACTTCAAGGTTTATGCTTCATTCTTACCCTTTTATCATGAGAGTACATCTGGTGACAGGGACTCTCAGGGTCTGAAAATATAATTTGTGTGCTCTAGTACCGTTTTCAGTGTTTACTGCCTGAAAACCTACTTGGGTTTTTCACTTTATTCCTTTTTAGTTTTAGGGATTAATTTTCAGATTTAATTTATAGAGGATGTTGTATTTTCATAAATATGTATTATAAATCTATGGTTGGTAGTATTCCTGGTCTGCCTTTTCAAGGGTTTGGGGATGGGAGGGTAAAGGAAGCATTAATATGATTATTTTGCTCAAGGTCATGCAGGTAGAGGTCACACTGGAGACTAGGACTTTTTCACTGGGCAGTTTATTAAATCTTTCATTGTCTTTACCCAGCTGTAAAAATGTGAGAAGCTGTCAAAAGAATATATTGCATGGCCGGACGCGGTGGCTCACGCCTGTAATCCTAGCACTCTTGGGAGGCCGGGGCAGGCAGATTGCTCCAGCTTAGGAGTTCGAAACCAGCCTGAGCAAGAGCGAGACCCGTCTCTACTATAAATAGAAAGAAATTAATTAGCCAACTAATATATATAGAAAAAATTAGCAGGGCATGGTGGCGCATGCCTGTAGTCCCAGCTACTTGGGAGGCTGAGGCAGGAGGATTGCTTGAGTCCAGGAGTTTGAGGTTGCTGTGAGCGAGGCTGATGCCACGGCTCTCACTCTAGCCTGAGCAACAAAGCGAGACTCTGTCTCAAAAAAAAAAAAAAAAGAATATATTGCAAAATTGAAATTCTTAGGAAAAAAAATACATTTAGTAATGTTATCTGTAAGACTGACTTTTTAATGGCTATTTCATGAATTCCACTGATCATTAAAACATTTGACAGAAATTCATTGTTTCTTGCTCTTTTTGGTGGTGTCATTAGCCAGTAAGTAAGTTGCTAAAATATTAGTGATGGTATTTAAAAACTCCTACATTTTAATTTTCAGGTTCTGATTTCTGCTTCTATTTACACATTTACACCATTAATAGTAAGAGCATACTAATTAAGTTAATATGTAGGTAGGTACACAGTAAAATGTTTTATGGTCATATATTAATTTGATCATTTCTCTTTGTTTTAGCCAAAGTCATACACTTGCTATTAAAAAACTATGCTGGAAGAATTGCAGTGGAAACACTGAAAAGAATGAAGCAGAAGGTGCTGAGTGGTTACACTTTGCAAGTTGTGGTGAAGATCACACTGTGAAGATACACAGAGTTGACAGACGTGCACTGTAATGGACTTAGTAACTACATGCTTGCAGTCATTGGTAGCTTAAAATATTTATCATGTAAATAGATCACCTTTCTTTACCTTTATAATTAAATTGGGTTTCATTTTAGCAGTAGTCCTTATTTGGGTCCTATACCCTTTTAATCTGATGAAAGCTACAAACCCTTTTCCTTGTTACATAATTTATGCATGCATACTCAGAACTTTGCCCACATTTTCAGAGATTCTTGGACCTTGAGACCTGCTTCTGTTCAGATCAAGAACCTCTGTTCTTTCTCCATGACTGGATTAGCCTGATTTTGTGTTATTTTGGGCCTTTTCGTTTGCCTCTCTTTGGGACATTTCATTATTTATTACCCTCTTCAGAGGCTAGACACAGGAAATAAAAAGAGAGGAAACCCAGATTACTCATTTTTATTTTAACATTCTTTGTAAATAAACATACCACACAAAGTGGGCTAACTCTGTCTTAATCACCTCCTTCCCAATATATGCCAGTCTTTCTAGGAATTTGGCAGGCAGTTTGAACTACAGGCAATCCTTTCCTTTATTCTTTAAAGGTACATAGGTTCTTCTTTTAGGGTTTTACTTAAAGTAGAATATCCTGATATTTAAGGTGATAGACGTAGGTACTGAAAAATAGAGTTCTGAATCATGATAGCTGAAGCCATGAGATTAAAGGATGTATATTCCCCAGGGAGGATGCAGAGGGAGGAAGTGGATGCTGGAAACAATATTGGTTGTGCCAGTTGAGGGTTAGGGGCAGGCCAGGAGAGTTGGGAGTTGGGGAAAGAGAGGTTAAAGGAAGATGTGAGAGGTACTGTGAAGACTGGAGTGAGAGTGGAGGCTTGCCCTGACTTTGTTGGAACATGGAGTCGTCTGGCAAATTGGCAGTTCAATGAATACTGTGTATAATAAATATGTTGAAAGAAGAAGGTGGGGATTTTCGTGGTGGGAGTTTGTGCCATAATCTAGCATATTTTGCTTCCAAAGGAGTTAAGGAGTTTTACTTAAATGGAAGTGTCCAGATGAGTGCTATACAATATTTCTTTCTTGTTTTTTTTGTTGTTTTGTTTTGTTTTTTTATAGAGATGGGGGTCTTACTCTTTCACCCAGCCTAGAGTGCAGTGGTATAATCATAGCCACTGAACCCAGCTCTATATAGTATCTCTACATTATTTCCTAGTGTCATCTACATATGAATTTTAAATTTTCTAGTAGGCATATAATAAAAGTAAAAGGGGACATGTGAAATTTACAATCTATCCAAAGTATTATATGAACATAAAATCAATATAAAAAAAACTTTCAAGATATTTTATACTTAGAGCTTATCTCAGTTTAGACTAGCCACATTTAACTGCTCCGTAGCCACATGTGGCTAGTGGCTATCCATATTTGGACAGTGAACTTCTAGACTATTGCATCTGTATACACTTGTCTTGTGCCCCTCAGCTAGGGGGTGGGGGTGTATGTGAGTATGTGTGCACCAAGGCAGTGACCATCTGAGCTTCCCAACCTCAGAGACCAGGATGCCCTGCCCTGAATTACCATTTCCCCGTTTATCAGCTGAAGACTCTTTACCCACATTGACACATGGGGATTTGTTCTGACCCCATTGCATACAGGATTCCAGAGAAGATCCAGTGGACAAACTTAGTTCTTTAAAGCCCTTAACTCAACCCCCTAAGGTTACCTGAAAGCAGGCCTCACCTTGGACAGACTGGATTCCCAAGCAGACAATTTTCCCAAGTTGTCCTGAAGCATCTTTCCCAGGAATCCCTTGTGTAATTCAGCTCAGTAAGTGTTCAGAGGACTTGCTATACACGGGGCGGGGGCGGGGGGGGCAGTCTGCATTTAATTCATACATGTTTACACAATCATGGGTTAGTCTGCTAAAGAGCACCCTTTGAACAATACAGCAGTAATTCATAGTATCTGAAGCAAAAAGCCAGTTTTGGAACTTTACTCCAGAGGAGCTGAGTATTTAAGAATCCTCAATCTGTCCTGCCCCCTAACATCTCATTTTTCTGCTTGGGTCATAGCATCAAACTTTAGCTTTGTGCCAAGCACCAGCCTAAACATGTGCTGTTTTCTGACCTGTACAACTTTCCTAGACAAAGGAGAGATGATTGGGGTGTACATGTTTGCCTTGGACAACAAGGAGCAAGACCTCTACAGTATCTTCCCAATAACCACAGGGAAACAATTGATTCCAAAGGGAGGATGTGGGAATTGGAGAGAGACTATGCAAATTAAAAGCACAGAATCGTTCTTTTTTAAATTAGACATTCTAACATCAGCAAATCCTGCTTGTCTGTAAGAGATCTTCCATTGCTACCTGTTTTAAGTCCCAGCTGGGTTGCATTTGTGGTTTAAGAGTAGAGAGGGATAGACTTCTCTCTCCTGGTTTAAAATTAGGATATTCTTAAGCAGTGATTCTTAAACTTTTGGGTACATCAGAATCACCTGGAAAGCTGGTTGCTGAGTACCAAATCCAGAGTTTTTCATTCCATTTCAAAGTGGAGGCCTGAGAATTTGCATTTCTGACAAGTTCCCAGGTAATTCAAGTGTCTACAGCCTGGCAGTATTAGTACCACAGGACGATATGGTAATTCTCAGACGCCAGGCCACACCTAGTAAATATCAATCCCTGGGGGTAGTGCCCAGGAATCTGTTTTAACAAGCTTTAGGTGATTGTGATGCACCCCCAAGTTTGAGAAGCACTACTCTGAAAGGCTGTCCTACTGCAGCAGTTAATAATTTACTATGACATGAACTATAACAAACAATGACTATCTGGAGTTGTGTAACTCCTATGGATGGGGTCACTACCCTCAGGAGTCTTTTTCCAGAACCGACTTTTTTATCTCTTTAGGTGTAATACTTCTAATTATGGCTCCAGAATCTATATGGCAAAAGACCTCATGGACATCGGCAAATTAATTGGAGCAGGTGGCTCTGTGTCTGTCCTGTTGCTGGTGCTGCTCTGACTTTGTGTGTCCTTATTAATTGTGCAGGTTTCTGCTTCTTGGCCTTTGTGTTTATGAAACACGTTGAGCTGCTAGGAAACTAAGGAATTGAATTTAGGGTTCTCCCATGACAGCGGAAGCACATCTAAGAAGAGCTGTTCTTAAGGGCCAGGCAGTGACTCTGTGGGGAGGGAGCCTTTGTGGAAGAGGGAACAGCTTCCAGGCCACCTGTTGCTGTCACTGGGTGAGGTGGTTGCATTAATAGCAGATTTCAATTCAACAGAGCATTAAAATCAGAACAAAGAGAGACAAAACAGGTTTCCTGGAGAGCTGAGCTCAGTGAGGTGATTACAGTGGATATAGGACCACAGGCGGATGGTTTCTAGTGGAGGATGATTGTTGAAGACCCCAAGCAGCAGATACTGGTTGGGTGTGGTCCTGCTCTGAGCTGGATGACAAAAGTGAAGCTCTGTTATGCAGCCCTTGTTACTCAAGGCTACTAAATGGTGATTGTTATTTTGTTTTGTATTAACCAAAATGACATAACCAACAATGGGTCCTTTCCTGTCTCCCAGAAAATTTTCTGTAGTGAACACCTGTGCTGTGTGTACCTTTGAGGCCATACTACTCTCACTCACACTACCGCAGTTTAAAATGACTTCGGAAAAACAAGTACTGAACTCTGGCCATTGATGTATATATACTCACGTGTTTAAGGGAAGTTTACTGAGGTCTGCAACTCATTTTGAAATACAGAAAAAGCAAGATTGGATGGATAAGGGGATAGATACATGAACATACATGTGATGAAGCAAGCACCATTAAAATATATGGGTGTAGTTTTGTACGCCCATATAGCAGTTATTTACAATACCCAAGAGGTGGAAGCAATAGAAACGTCTGTTAATGGATGAATGGATTGATAGAGTGTGGTATATACAGACAATGGAATATTATTCAACCTTTAAAAGGAAGGAAATGCTGACACTACACCTTGGGAGGACATGCCAAGTGAATTAAGTCAGTCACAAAATGATGAATACTGTATGATTCTACTTGTACAAGGTATCTAGAGTAATCTAATGCATAGAAAGTAGAGTGATAGTTGCCAGGGGCTGGAGGAGGAGGAAATGGGGAGTTGTTCTTTTTTTTTTTTTTGAGACAGAGTCTCGCTTTGTTGCCCAGGCTAGAGTGAGTGCCGTGGCGTCAGCCTCGTTCACAGCAACCTCAAACTCCTGGGCTCAAGTAATCCTCCTGCCTCAGCCTCCTGAGTAGCTGGGACTACAGGCATGTGCCACCATGCCCGGCTAATTTTTTTGTATATATATTAGTTGGCCAATTATTTCTTTCTATATTATAGTAGAGACGGGGTCTCGCTCTTGCTCAGGTTGGTTTTGACTCCTAAACTCAAACGATCCGCCCGCCTCGGCCTCCCAGAGAGCTAGGATTACAGGCGTGAGCCACCGCGCCCGGCCTGGGAGTTGTTCTTTAATGAGTATAGTGTTTCCATTTTGCAAGATGAAAAAGTTCTGGAGATTGATAAATGTTATTTTATCACAATTTTTTTTAAAGCATGTTAAAGAAACACCATTTCCCAGGATGTAAATTGGTATTATGCAAAACAGAAAAAGTGTTCCAAAGTAAAATATATTTGTGAAACACTGGGCTAAAGAAAGTTAGGTAAGTGTTTTTACTGAAGAACTTCTAAGAGCCTTTAATACGTTAATCTACATTGGGAATTTCCAAGAGGAGGGTCTGGCCCACAGCATTTCCCAATCATTAAACTTCACAACCCAAACTGCTTTCAAAACAAATGTTAATGGTAGAAACTCTGTGATGGGTGTTCACAGTACAATTCTTTCAACTTTTTTGTATGCTGGAAATTTTCTGTAACATATTGGGGAAAATGGCCTTGGGATATTTCATTCAAATTGGAGCCAGGCTAACACAAGGCTGTTGCTGCTAGTGGGAACAGCCTTGGTCCCCATGTACCAAGCTGCCCTTCCAGCCTCTCTCCCCACCTCTGCTCCCTGCGAGGTGCCCACTCCTGGGGCTAACAGAGGAGAGGGCAGGGAGACTGAGAGCCCAGCTGGGAGGGGCCCTCCGGGGGAGCAGCTGGGTCATACAGATGGAAGGC